TAAGTAAGAATTAGAACCAAGAGGAGGAACCGCCAGAAAGAGGAAACAAAACACAACAGAAGAAAAAAATAGCAAACAGTATGCTTCGATCTGCATTCAAACTCTGTAGTTCTCTCTTCTTTGTGGATAGCATTTTCCATCATGAGGCCTTTGGGGATGTCTTAGATCCCTGAATTGCTGAGAAGGGTTAAGTTTATCAGTATCAGTCATCACACAACGTGGTTGTTACTGTGTACAACATTCTCTTGGTTCTGCTCACTTCACTAAGCATCAGACCATACAAGTCTTTCCAGGTTTTTCTGAAGTCAGCCTGTTCATCATTTCTTATAGCATAATAGTATTCCACAGGAGAAATTATTTACACACATTTAAAAAATACCAATTATCTTAACTTCCATTTATAAATCTTATTTGTAATTCTTTAGCCATTTTTATTACTTTCCTTCTGAATGTTGTAAAATTTTCTTATCATTTTAAAAATATGTAGGATGAAATCAGGCACACAAGTTCAGTCTTTGTGCCTTTGATCATTGTGATGGAATATTATTGTGCTATAAGAAATGACAAGCAGGATCATTTCAGAAATACCTGGACAGACTTACATAAACTGATGCAAAGTGAAGTGAGCAGAACCAGGAGAACACTGTACACAGTAACAGCAATAGCTGACAAAGAAGAATTGTGAATGACTTAGCTATTCTCAGCAAAAACGATAATCAAAGACCTTCCCAAAGGATTCATGATGAAACATGCTGTCTGCCTTCAGAGAAAAAACTGATAATATCTGAATACAGACTCAAGCATACAATCTCTCTCTCTCTCTCTCTCTCTCTCTCTCTCTCTCTTTCTCTCTCCCTCCTTTCTTTCCTTTCCCTCTTTTTCTTTCTTCAGGTCTTCTTGTACAAAATGACTACTATGGGAATATTTTACATGACTGTACATGTATGATGTATATCAGATTGCTTACTGTCTCAGGGAGGGGGGAGGCATAGAATTTGGAACTCAAAACTTAAAAAAAAAATCCCAAAGGTTAAAGAATTGTTTTAACATGCAATTGGGGAAAAAAGGAAATGTAAAAAATATAAATATACAGAGTTGATACAAAGTGATATGCCTAATATGATCTGGTAGCCTAAGTTCAAGTTTTTTTTCCCCAAGTTTAATAATGAGTCAAAGACCTCTTTACTTATACTTGACATTGGTATGGTATTGGGTAAATCATCTATCTTCTCTGCATCTTGGTTTCATCATCTTTTTGAAAAGGGGTGAATTATGACTTTTATTTTAGAAATACTTTAAATACTAGTAATAATAATAATAGTAACTAGCATTGATATAGAACTTTAAGATTTGCAAAGTACTTTACATATATTTTAAATTCCTTGTTATTAAAATTTCACATCCACAAAATTTTTTATAGTTATGGCATTTTAAAATTACTATTTCTTTTTGTTTCATTTAGAAAATAGTATTCGCATGTATTGCTACTCATATTCAACTCAGGAAGAGTACAAGGACACGGGGTAATGCACCTTCAAACAAATGTATGAGTTCTGCGACACAAAAGATTCATGGTGGGAAGAAAATATGTACCCATTAATCAAAAAATGTGGACAGGATCCGTCAGGTAGATAGGGTGTTAAGTGAACCCTCTAAATTCATAACCTATTTTACTATCAATATACCCATGGTTTTATGAAAGCATGCACAGAGTTTATGAGACAGTGAAATGACTAATGAAGGATATTCTCTGCTTTCTACTGAGAACTTCTGTTTGCTTCTAACTGTTTAATTTCTCTTCCATCTCTCTTTCAATTAACCTCCCTGTTTGTATTTGATGAGACGGCACATAATATGGAGCAAGAAAAAAAAATCTTGCTGATTTATGGGCATTCTTCCACCAAGTAGAAGTTTCTGTCAGAAAGGCACACAAGTGTTTGAGTTGATAGAAAATGCATAGCAGTAGAAGCCTCCACAGCTAACTTCGTATGGACACTTCCTGTGCTGTTAAATTTGTGACTCAAAAAGGCCTCTTTTCCTATTCCTCACGGTAGGACTATACATTTGGATGGGAGAAAAGGCAACTTTGATCTCTGTAAGCCAAGAGTTAGAATAATGAATTCTAATGGTACAGAAAGCAAAACAAAGACCCCTCCTCCCCCCAAAAAAATAATAATAAAACAACTTTCCACTTCTCTGAAGAGAAACACTTTGGGGATTGTTATAATTAATATTTTTTGAATGAGGGCTGGTATTTTACCTTTAAAGTGTCTACACTTAGGATTTAAAATGGACACAAGTCAAATATTTAGAAATAATGATTACCATAATGATTACAAACTTTGTTATAAAAATAAAGGTCTGAAAACACCTACAAACCCAAGGTCACAAAAACTCTGTGTCTAAAACCTTGGAAAAATGGTACAAAAACAATCATTCATGTATAACTATTGTCCTCAGTAATCCTGTCAAGGTCATAAAACCAATAACAGAATGATTTATTAATTGCTTCTCAGCAAGTTAAATTTGCCTCCAGATAACTTCTTGGTGTTCCAAAATATATAAATAAATGTATATATGTGCAAATTGCTCTATATGCATTTATTATATAATCCATATATATTATAATCAAAGAGTTAGAGGAGTTTTTTTTTTTATCTTTCCTCCCTATTTATGGGATCTAGAAAATGCCAGGGTAATGCTCCCTGGAGAATTATCTTTTTCCTAGATTCTACTATCAGTTGGGCTTTTGTGCCAAGGGAGGTTTTTTGGCCCAAGAATAACACACAATTATCATGTTAGTCAGCAAGCATTTATTAAGAGCTTGATATGTGCATCAAAAGTTTTATGTAGGAGAGAGAATTCTTCTTCATGTACAGAAATACAGAGCAGTACAAAGAAATATCAGATTTCCAACAAAAGCTATAATTAATATAGATATGTTTGTGTATGTATATATATGTAAGATCCTTGAGGGCAGGAACTGTTTTTGCCTTTCTTTGTAAGCCTTGTACTTAGCACAGTGCGTAGCACATAGTAAATACTTAATAAATGTTTGTTAACCAACAGAGTAGGAGAATAAAATGATATATATGTATATCTTTATATATATGTATGCACACATATGTATAGATAGCTAAATACAGGTTTAGATTTAGACATAGACAGATAACATACAAGCTCCTCCACCAAGTCAGACCAGCACCTGCTTTGCAACAACTGACAGTCCTGTGAGATTTGTCTGGGGGCACTGAGAGTTTCAGTCCCACTTGCCACACATTCTGTATAGGTCAGAGGACAGATTTTAATTTATGTTTCCTGACACTGAGGCCGATTTTCATTGCTACTGAACAGACAAGTCATTGCTGCTGATCACAAATGAAAGTCACTCTATGAACAAAGGAAACCTAGTTTGGTCTTTAACAGTTTCCTGAAGCTTTGACCCAATCACAGTCAGAAAGAAGTTTCACTTTTTGGTTAAATCTAAATCATGACGCATTCTATAAGCTATTTAAATGGGTTAAAGAAGATCAGAAAGGACCTTCCTCTAATTTTATGATTATAATGTTCTGTAGTAAAATATACATTTTATAGTAAATATTTGAATGTATGTTGCAATATACATGCAATTATAATGTTTTACAGTAAAGAGGTGAATACAATTTCCCTCTGGCATTATTCAGAATATGCAAATTTTTAGAGAAAATAAAATGTAGAGATAATACCTGAAAATTTGCCTAAGAAATCATCTAGGGTTCTAGCCAATAAGTTTGTGTCCCCAGGAAATATTTTATCAAAAAATACACTTTCTGGACCTTTACAAATATTAACTGTGACATAGAGGGAAGCAAAAGATAATGGGATATTTTGACTTATCAAATTCCCTGTAACTATGGTCATTCCACCTGTTCACTGGAGTGGCTGGAAGGTTACTTTTACCTTTATTGTTGGCTGGTTCCCTTTCCACCCCTACCCCCCTCACTGGATGCTTTTACTGTAGTAAAATAAATATGCTAAAAACTAAGGCGAGCACCTTGACTATATGGGGACAGATAACCTCTGGATGCTTTCTGATCCCCAACAAACAACAATGAATGGACATTTGAATGCTAAACTCTATTTTGTATCATTAACTTATCATTGCCCTTGGACCTAAATGTATGTCTGGAAACCAAATATATTCATATAATGTTTTCCAACACAAAATTCTTGAATAACAACTAGATTTTTGCATTTGATCTATTTCTTGCCATACTAGATATAGTAAGAGGTATAAAAACGAAGGCCAAACAAGATGACAGCTTTGGAGTTACTATTTTTTTCTGGAGGAAAAAAATCTTTCCTGAAGGTCTTAACCTGGTTGCTTCAATGTGGCACAGAAGTCACCCTGAGGTCTTAGAAGTTATGCCAGCAGAAGACAAACTGGCCTTCTGAATAATGGGCCAAGAACAGAGCCTGGCCCTCTGAGTCTCAGTCTAGAGGCCTGGCTCTAGAGGACTGACGAGCAGATATACAATTTTTATGGCCACAAAAAAAAAATCACCAAAGAAGCATCTGCTGAGGCAGAGAGGAGATGACTATACCTGGTGTACCAGTAAAATCATGGATCTTTTAAAGTAAAAAATAAATATGGCTATGGTTACCAAGCGATAAGATGGCAGCATATAAAAATGAGACAGAGTCCATAATGAAGATCTGTTTATAAATAGGGAGAGTATCTTCTTTTTCCATGGGAGTCAATTTTCATGGCCATCACAAATGAAATAACGAAGGAAGGATTCTTATGCCCTGCATTTGTGGCAGTGGGCCTGAAAGGAACTGAATAGCCATTATATAATGATATCCTTATTTAAAATATTAATTCCTTTATGCAGAATGACAGGCGGTAATGCTTTGAAGGAATAAGCTTCAAAGCACTGTATTTCAGAAGCAGGGAAAGCCAACAGTCCGAGCTTTTTAGTTTTATGTTGAAGATAGATATGAAAGTACAGCAGGCCTACCAATGGTACAGTGCTCTCCGTTCCATCCCTGGCTGCATTCACACTTCCCATCTTTGCAGGTTCCATGTTCCGCACAGTGGGGGTGGCAGGCTCTTTGATTGCATGCTGGGCCGGTCCAGCCTTCTTCACAGCGACAAGTTCCCCCCATGCAAACCCCATGTGAGCCACAGTCCACCGAGCATATTTCTATATTGAAAAGAGAGGAAACAGAGAAAAAAAAGGGAGGGGAGAAGCAAAAGAGAGAGACAAAATTAATGAGCAGTGCTATACCTTAAACTCCAATCCGAGTGAAAAAGCAACATCGTTGGAAATAAAATCATAAGAATTTACCGACAAAATGCGATTTCTGGTATGGCTCTGAAGAATGAATAAATAGGGAATTTTAACTTTTTGTTTATGCTTGTTTACCCATTACCTTACCTGCTACCTTACTGTAGTATCTATAGTACTTTCACCAGGTATGAACAATTTCTCATTATATTCACTTATTTCATAAGGGTAACACTTTGCAGCTGGAAATATGTCTTTATGCCAGTTAAAATTTAGTGAATAATTTAAAATTTAACACTGTATTTTACAGTGTCTAATTGTAACGGGAAAAAAGGTCATTCTATGTACATCAACAATTAATAAAGCTATCCTTCAGATTTTAAAAATATTCATTTCCACGATAACCTTCCTTTCCCCTTAATTATTAAAAATAACATACTAACGTGAGCACATTAGCTTGCTTCTGACATGATGACATGTTGGCTAAATAAAAGAGATTGTTCTTTTTCCTTTTCAGTAAATTTGTACTGTTGACAGCTATGAGTAGTTTTGCTTAAATAATAGAAAAACTGTTTAAAAAACAAATTAGCACATAACTATGGAACACATTCTTTTGCAGCTATTAAGATTCCTAAGGCCAAAGGTGTTCATGGGCCAAAATCTATAGTTACATCACCTCCACCCAAAGAATTTATGAATGTGAGATGCTCATTTAGATTACTGTGGTTTGTCCAATGTTTTAAAAGCTTCATTTGAGCAATGCCGGCCTCTGAAAGGAAAAAAAAAATAAACCCCAAAAGGAAGCCGGCCGGGCCCCCCCCCCCCCCCTTCTCACCGGAATAAAGTTAGTCTGCTTTTTTGTTTGTATGACTGTTCTCTTCAGTTTTGGTCTTCTCATAAAAGAGAATGAGCTTAACAATAAAACGCTGAAATTATTCTCGACTGAAATAGAAAACAGAGTTCAGCCCTTATTTTTCTTCCCTTAAAAAAAGTAATTGGAACAGCCTACATATAGAGTAGCTTGTTTCTGCTTTCTTCATTCTCTGGCTATGTTTTCTTTCTCGGACACCATAATTCTTTGTCTTGAAGAGTTATAGAACATTAAATACCACATCAAGGAGCTGTGACATTTCTTATAAGAAACAGTCAGGAATGTTTATAGGAAGAGAGCTAGTGGGTTTTTTTTTCCTCCTATGCCACATTTTCTATCTACTTTGAATTAAATTTTTGATTAAGAGATCCAAGATGGTTTGATTAACTTCAGAACAACATAACATCAACTCAGCTCCAGGAGAGAAAGGTTTATTTCAGAGGTACCCTTTCTCTTCAATCTAATCAATTTTTCATTAGGGTGAAGGTGTTTATCAGCATTTAGCACACTAGCTTTGAGCAAGGTGCGTCAATCTTGGTAATGAACTTATTAATTAGAGTTAATTCAATTGAAGTAGAATTGAAGGGCTAATTAATGGACAAACTGCTGATGAAGATAGAGGAAAGCTCTGTGGCTTTCAAACCTTTAAACTATGTGATGGAAATAATTCATTCCTTCTCTTTTAGTAGTTTAACCAAATGTTTCTTTATGGGAAAAGGCCACTTGTTTACAGAATTCAGCTATCTGAAGGTCATTTTTCCAACTTTAAGTGTGGCAGTTGATAACAGAGGTTTTCTTCAGAAGCAAGTTTAACGATTCATAATTATACAGTTACTATGCCTTGACTCACACACAGGATAAATGATCAAATTTCTTCCTTGTCAGTTTTAAGGGTTAAATTTAGTTGTGCTAAGAAATGACCAGATTTCATATCTGAAGCATGTAGTAATAATCTCAGATGTCTTCAGAAGATGAACAATGATATATTTTATTCTGCAATCTTTGCTATTATTGATTCTGAATAAGGTTTCAGTCTACATATGAACATGGGAGATCATTGCTGGCAGAGCTCAGTAAGCATTCACTCTGCATTAAATACATTTTCTCTTCTCATAATAACTATGTCACAGTCATTTTGTACATGGTGAAAACTGTTCATTTTTGAAGTACATAGAATATCAATAGATAGTCGATTCCTTGAGGTCAGGGCCAGCTTCCTTTTGCTTTTTTCAATATCTAGGATAGAGCCCACAGTGGCCTAGCACCCAGCAGGCACTCAGTAAATGCTGCTTATTGGTGATATCATAAATAAAACTACATATGAGTGAGAACCATGACTTTTCAACATATAAAATAATGATGTGAAACCAGAAGACTTTTTTTGCAGCTGATTTAATCTTTTAATTAAGGTTTAGCTTCTAAACATCTATTTTCAGCTCATACCAATTCTCTTTTACAAGTATGGATTGAATTAGTTTTTGTTGTTGTTATTTAGGGGCTATCACAAGCCTTTTCTATAAAAATTATTTAGATCTTTGCTCCCCAGCTGTGAGTCCACAGTGAAATATGACTGGTTCACAAAAAGGAAAGGTCCATAGTCCTTAAGATTTATGTACTTTAAAAACTGACCTACTTCTTCTTAGTATGATGCAGTAGTGGATAGAGTGCTGGACCTAGGGTCTTCTGGGGCAATGGACTTCAGCTCCAATGATTATCAGGGTATGACCCTGGCCAACTCACTAAGCCCTCTTCATCTGTAAACAGGGATTAGGCTATTGATCCAACCGAGGGCAAAGGCTCAGTGTCAGCTGTATAAGCCACCCAGTACTCTATAAATGTGAGTTATTATTGTTCATTTCTCTCAACCCTTTCAGTATTATTTGTGTGGGGAAAACATCAGTTTAGATAACTTGTGGAGGTGCTAATTTGAGTAAGATGCAAAGACTGACAGCAAGGGAAAACTGGAAGCAAATCTCAAGATAAAGCAAACATTATATTCTGGCAAATGTGATTAATTTTCTAAGTGGCTTGTTCCAAGTAGATACAGCAATGTGTAACGTGAATGTCGGAAGCAATAAGATAGAGACAGGCCTCTTTGGAGGCAGGAAGGCCAGAGTTCAGGGCCTTCTCTGGCACTTACTGACTGTCTGCCCATGGGAAGGTGAAAGGAATGGAATAAGCATTTATCTAATACTACGTGTCAAGTACTGTGTTACTCGCTTTTACAAATACTAGCTCACTGGATCCTCCCAACAACTTTGCAAGGTAGGTGATGTTTTTATCCTTATTTTACAGTTGAGGAAACCAAGGCGAATAGATGTTAAATGACTTGCCCAGGGTCACACAGTGAGTGAGTGAAGTCAAATTTGAACAGCTCTGTCCTTATTTTAGAAGGAGAAAATGCATCCACCCAACAGAGATGGCTAATTACACACTGTGAACCTTGCTTTTACCGACCATATTTACAAAAGCAGGCCATGAAGTTAGAACATAACTTAGAACAGTGCCCTGCCCCATGTGGCTACTTTATCAATGCCAGGTGATGATAATAATCATCCCCCCAATCCCCTTTACTCTGTCATTCAAGGCCTTCCACAATTTTACTAGCCTCCCTCCTCCACCAAAACAAAAATCTCACTGCCCTAGACAAACTGGCCTATTTGCCATCACCTTACTGAGCTCTTTTCTCCTGTGTTTTGGGTCTGACTTGTCCACCTGCAGGAATGCAGGAATATAATTCACCAAACCCCACCTCTCCTTCAAGGCCATCAGCATCCATGGAACCTTGCTAAGCAACCTTCAGCCCATAGACCACCCCTCCAGCTCTTCTGAATTCATTGTATTCATGCATTCACAAAGTGCGAGACTGTAGAAGCTTTGAGGACCCTAGCTTCATGTCTCAGCTTTGCCACTTAATACTCCAGTTGTACAGTTTGGATTTCGGGTAGGTCATCACCCTCTCTGGCAACAGTCACTTTCACTCCTGACTTCACAGGGTTGTGATGAGGGAAGTGTTTTGAAAACCTTAAAGCACTATATAAATTTTAGCTACTGATGTTGTGGAATGAGCCTTGTAAGAACAAATGCATTTTCACACACAATCAATAGGCTGGCTTGTTTTTTCTAGAACATACTTATTTGTTATAAGGGAAGGCTCCTATTAGGAGGGAGTGGGAGTTGGGGGGTAGTGTTAGTGATGTGGGGAAAAAACCAGTCAATGAAACATTAACAGATTATACAGAAGGGAGAAGGAAGTTCAGAAGGGTACACAGACGGGCAGGACACTTGTTATTTCTACTGTGTTAAATTTACTACCACTTTAAAAAAAAAACTACATCAAAGAAGTTCATATTTCATTGAAATCTTCTTTCCAGTTCTTTGTCTACTGAAATGTTCACGTGTGTGTTGATGGTTGTTCAATTCATAATAAAAGATAAAATTAAGAAATAAAAGAAAGAGCACTGAATTTGAAGTTAGATGGTCTAGAATCTGACTTCTGGTCTGACGATAGCTATGTGACCTTAGGCAAACTACTTCAATTTCGTGGGCCAATTTCCTCATATGTAAAATAACAGAGGACGGCCAGATGGCACGGTGGCTAGAGACACAGTCCTGGAGTCAAGAGGACCTGAATTCAAAAGCAGCCTCAGACACTTACTAGATGTGTGACCCTGGGTAAGTCGCTCCACCCGATTTGCCTCAGTTTCCTCATTTGTTAAAGGAGCTGGAGAAGGAAATGGCAAACCATTCCACTATCTTTGCCAAGAAACCCCCAGATAGGGTCATGAAGAGTTGGACGTGACTGCAATGACTGAATAACAACAAAAAGTAACAGAGTTGGACAATCTGACCCTACTCTGGATAGTCTTTTTCAGTTCAAAATCTATGAGCCTATGATTCATTCCAGCTGTAATTCAAGATCCAACTCCCTTGTAATATCTTTTTTCTTGATTGTTATCTTGTATTATTATTTAACTCTTCAAGCATTTAAGCCTTGTCTCTCCGACCAGATGGGAGGTTCCTTGAAATTGGAATCTTAGAACTT